TATTTTATAAAATACAAAGACTAGCAAGTGCATGAGAGGAGAGGCCTTGGAAAATGCTAGAGAACTACTAAATGTGTAATACCACACATTATTTCATTATGGACTGGTTAAAGAAAAACAGGCAATGTTTAGTTTAATAATGTTCTTAGAGAACTTAGTCCTGGGGCAACAGTTTCTTTAAGAGCACAGTTTAGTCTCGGACAGTGGAGAGGCTGACAAAGGGTCAAAGGTCAACCACAGGGTCAGGATGTTACTCTACACTGTTCAGTCTTTAAACTGATCTGTTGTGGTCCTGCAGCTCAGGTTCTTCTGTCAGGAGGTCCACTGGACCTGAAGTCAGCCACACTGAGGACCATCTGAGTTTTAGGGTCMGCTTTCTGGATGACCCTCACATAAAGAAGCTCTCTACTCCTGGTGAGTCTCAAACACTCCAGTCTGCWGCTAATGTCTGTTAGTAAAATATCTCCTGTAGCACTGGACAGATTAGAATGAATCTTATTCTGATGGAGCTCATATGGAGGAATAATCCTGATGAACTCAGTCCTACTTCTTATGACTATGACTATGACAGTAGGTGTAATGCTCCTTTAAGTTGGTTGCCAGCCACTGTAAAACTTGTAGAAGAGTTGCTTCTCATTTTTTAAACAACCATTAAAGACATCCTGTGGTTGTGGAAAAGATGTCAGTCTGTTTGAGAAGGGTCAAATCATTGGCATCAAGCAGAGAAAACACCTACGTAGGCTGCAGACATGACTATAATTGGCTGAAGAATTGTCTGACGCATTATTAAAACCTGGAAGGATAGTGGGGACCCATCGTTTTCAAGGATGTACCCATCATAGTGCCTACTGAACCAACCTGTGGGGGCTGTGCTATGATRTGGGGGTGCTGCAGGTGGTCAGGTCTAGGTTCAGCAACAGTTTGTGCTCAAMGAATGAGGTCAGCTGACCTGAATATACTGAATAACCAGGTTATTCCACCAATGGATTGTTTCTTCCATGATAGCATGGACATATTCCAAGATGACAATGCCAGGATTCATCGGGCTCTTATTGTGAGAGTGGTTCAGGGAGTCAACCAGTCCTCAGTGGGAGGAGTTCAGGTATCTTTGGGTTTTGTTCACAAGTGAGGGAGAGAAGTCTTGTGGACTCTGTACTGGTCTATTGTGCTGAAGAGGGAGCTGAGCTGTTAGACAAAACTCTGTTTACAGATCAGTCTACGTTCCTACCCTCACCTATGGTCACAAAGTTTTGGTAGTGACTGAAAGAAAAGATCACCGATACAAACAGTTGAAATGAATTTTCTCTGCAGCGTAGCTGGAATCTGTTAGAGATAGGGTGATGGCTTCTCTTCTCCAAGAGAGATTCAGATTAGATCTGCTTTTCCACATCCAGAGGAGCAAGTTCAATTCAATTCAGTTTATTTATGTAGTTCAAGTTAAGGTGGTTCATCTGGTAAGGATGCCTCCTGGACACCTCCCTAGGGAGGACCTTCAAGCATGACCAACTGGGAGGAGACCCAGGCCAGCCAAGAGACTGTCTATCAGCTGGCCTGGGAACACCTTGGAGTCCTCCCAGAAGAGCTGGAAGAGGTGGCTGAGGAAAGAGAGGTCTCGACTTTCYTGCTCAAGCTGCTGCCCTCACAACCTGACTTCGGATAAAGCAGAAGATGATGGATGGTTTGTTGGTTGGTTCGTTGGTTTGTTGGTTGGTCCGTTCATTGTTTGGTTCGTTCGTTGAGGGAGCATGAGACATCATTTTCACTCATTAATTGACCACCACAAAATCCAGACCTTGACCCCACTAGTCCTTTTTCCACCTATGCGGTTCGGTTTGGCTCCACCCCACTCCGCACCCATTTTGTGTACTTCCACTGTGGCTCCCGCCCACTTTCGGCCCACTTTTTCAGACCTCCTCTCGAGGTAGTACTGAGGCCGGCACCGTTTGGGGCATGGAGGTGCCGAAGCATGTAGCAGTCACGATTGGCCAGTGGAGCTGCCTGGATGACGTAGTTTATTAAGAGCAAGTTGAGATTTTCCAAATGATGGCGGTGTGCTGGGAGAAGCTAAAAATATATTGAGCTGGTTTTCAGAGCAGTGAAGAACCACAACAACAGCCAGAGTGGCTCAAAGCAGTGGGACTAGAGCTGCTTTTGGTAAATGGAGGGGATCTCTCTCTCTACAGCCATTGTTCTGTCTGCTGCTAACTGTAGACTGGACTCTTCACAATTTTCATCTGCAGACAGTGAGTGCTTMATGCACTTAGTGAGATATTGAACACAAATTATGGGACACATCTTGCTTGTCAAACTGTACATTTTATTTATAAAGTTTGTACCGATGTGCCCTACGTGCATGTTTGTTTCCAATACCTACTAGTTGGCAACTAGCGGCTATCGCTAGTTAGCAATCCAGGCTAAAAACAACACCCCCAGCTCTACATTATATTGTAATTAGTAATTAATTTTGACCGTATTCGAGGCTAATTATTGGTTTTCTGTTCAGAGTCACCTTCGACAAGTGACCAGGGGCCTCATGTATCAACGGTGCGCACGCAAAAAAACCTTGCGTACGCCATTTTCCACGCAAAACTCCGGATTTATCAAAACTGAACTGAAGGTGGAAATGTGCGCAGCCCCACGCCAACTCCAGGGCTGGTGTCACACGTTTCTGTGGTTCTGGTTCCACTGGAGACACTTAGAGGTGATTCTGAGAAACTGTTCATGATGTGAAAATGATTATTGTTCACAGCAGATACACATGATTAACAATTATTACACATTATTAACACATATTACATCCACATGATTAACAATTATTACATCCACATGATTAATAATTATTACATCC